GCATCCATTGACTTCCCAAACAACCTCGTTGCTGTTCCTGCTGCCGATTTCTGGGCTGCAAGATGCACGACACTGACATTTGAACGCAAACAGACGGTCCTGCAGTTTTCGCGGGGCCGTGTTTTGCAATAAAGGTTCTATTTATTTATTTAATTTTTTTATTTATTTGATACTGTCAACCCTGTGCTTGGGGTCATTACAGGGAGGGTGTCACAAAGTACATAAAGTTCGCACAAAATAGAAAACTTCAAAAGCACATATAAATACTAGATGAATAACCAACAATAAAAAAATAAGAAACAAACAACAGTGACTACACATAAAAATCAACGAATAAATTCTGACAACAGAATTTAGCACGCATCACTACAAAGAAAACCGTCTAATGCATTTTCAAAATCCACTGATGTTGTTTGTTGCACAACCGCATTGGGTAAACTATTCCACATATCTATTGTGTCTGGGAAAAAGGAGTGGCGGAAAGCATTCGTGCGTGTGAAATAAGGTTGAATTGCTCTACTATTATTAAGACGATCACATCGCCTTCCAGGGGGCTGAATATATAAATCCTTATTTATCTTTGTTTGCCTGCTTATAATCTTAATAAGAAATTTGAGGCGATGTTTTCGCCTGCGATATTCCAAAGACTCAAGCTCACAGGCCTTTAACAAAGCTGTGACTGAGTGTGTGCATCGGTATCTACCGCATATGAAACGGACTGCTAATTTTTGTATTCATTCAATTTTGGTCCACAACACCTTCTGGTGAGGTGACTATACAATACTAGCGTACTCTAAGACAGGACGTATGAATGTTTTGTAAGCACTTAGTTTTACATCTGGTGTGGCATGTTCCAGTTTTTTTTTTTTTTTAGGAAATACAGTTTTTTGTTTGCCTTAGAACAGATGTTATCGATATGCAAGTGCCATTTCAATGTGTGCATAATACCAACTCCCAGGTATTTAAAACAATCGGCATTATTTGAAGGGTGACTTCCGATGTGATACATGAATAACAATTCTCGTCCACTAGAGTGAATATGCGTAAATGTCGTCTTGCTATAGTTTATTTTCATGTCCCATATTATACACCACTGATCTAATGCCTGTAAGCACCTGTTAAGATTAATTTGGCCACTTTCCAAGTAACTGGGGAATAAATCAAGCAGACATCTGCAAAAAGTTTCATTTTAATGGGAGCCTCAACTATTGAACATAGATCATTAACAAATATCAGAAAAAGAATTGGTCCTAAAACAGATCCTTGGGGAACGCCCGAGTACACGGCCAGTGGTCTTGAGATGTAATTTTCAATTTTTACAGCCTGTTGACGTGTGGATAAATAGGCATCTATCCATTTTAATACTTCTTCGCTTATTCCTGATCTTTCAAGCTCGAAAAGTAATTTACGATGAGAGACCTTATTAAAGGCTTTCCTAAAATCGACACAAATTAGATCAGTCCACAGAAGGGCATCGCTGTTTTTATTAAAATCATGGAGCGTTTCAGCTAATTGTGTCACAGTAGAAAGACCATGCCGAAACCCATGTTGGCTTGCGCAAAGTAACTGGTTAGAATAAAGAAAACTAAGAATATGTTTTGCTAATAGTACATGTTCCAGAACATTACAGCAAACCGACGTCAAGGATATGGGCCAGTAATTGTTTACTAACGAGCGGTTACCATTTTTAAAAATCGGAATTACAACTGCATTGTGCCAGTCTTGTGGAAGTGATCGCGTCTCAACCGATTTCACAAATATGATTTCTAATTAAACGAGACCCATTCTGCGTATCTCTTGAGAAACTCTGTTGGTAGGTTATCCGGACCACTTCCTTTCTCTGCATCTAGCTCAAGCAGTAACTTAAAAACACTTTCGCGGTTGATAATAGCAGGTTCCATTGCGGTTGTTGCACTGTTATTGATGGATGCCCCTATCTTATCGCCCTGGTCTATTGTGAAAACGGACTGAAAGAAGCGATTAAAAGTATCTGCTAAGTCTTTAACTTTTGTCAGGATACAACCCTCATGTGCGATCTGCTCAATTCTTTCCTTTCTGTCACTGATGTAACGCCAGAATATGGATGGCGAGCTGTTAAGGAAGATCATAAGCGTTTGGCCAAAGAACTTATTTTTGGAATTCACAAGGGCTTCTTTGAACTTGATTTTTATAGCTGCAATTTCCGTCGCTCTTTTTTTACTTTTCCTTAATTTCTTAATTCGATGTTTCATATGTATAATGCTGCGTGTTATCCAGAGATTTTGTTTACGTGTTTCTTTAATACGAAGAGGGACAAAGCGATCAACGCAAGTTACGACGTTGGCCTTAAATCTCCGCCACAATTGCTCCACAGATTCAACATGTGATGCTCACTCGAAATCAATAAAGTGGAGCTCGAGAAAATTTATGAAGGAAGTGTCATCTGCCTTTTTAAAGTCCTTTACTTTTACCGGAAGGAACGGTTTCTCTAAACTGCATGCACTAGTTTTAATTACTAAAGACGACATTTTGTGGTGGCACATGCCATCTAAAATATTTAAAACATAGTCTGTTATGTTTTGAAACAAAAACACGAGGTCTATTATTTTGCACAGAACTTGTGCTGCACGGCACAGTTGCACGAGTCCTTGGTAAAAAGTATCACTTGGCACTTGAAGTCACCTGTGTAGCACTGCCAAGGTGACATCGTCGCAACCGCGCACAACCAAATAGTGGTGGTGGTTAGAAAAAGAAGAAGGCGCCTAATTTCTGCAGCCCAGTAGGGAGCACGGCGCAGCACCTACAGCAAATGCGAACCGTCATCCCGTCGCAAAGTTCGAGGCGGCGACGGCGAGGCCTCAGGCCAGTGCCAGTGCGGCTGTGTGCCGGAAGGCAATACAGGAAGCATGGCTAGCGGGCTAGGGACTCAATACCTAGGGAAATTGTGGGTTTCATAGCAAACTGTGGGTTGCAAACTGTGGGAAATTGTGGGTTTCATTGTGGGGCGGAGCGGCTGCATTTTGCAGGGGCGTTGCGCGACTATTGCATAAGTAACTTTTTTCTTCGCAATTACTTACGTAGTCGAGAAGAAGGAGGGGGTTCTTTATTTCAGATTTTATGGTATATAACATGCGTGTGCAGCAGGAACTGCTTTAAGAACAGCGGGCGTGGCAGTTGAACGCCATTAGCTTGCCGCTTTTGGTTGAATCGTGAATATAAGCTGAGATTCTTTGGTCTCGAATATAGGTCGATAGCTGATTATAAACGACATTTTCGGAAAAAGAAAGGCCGACCTGTATTCGAATAAACACGTAATGTAGACTGAGTGACAAAGTGACACTAATGTTATATAAAGTGACATAAAGAGTCAACAACAAAACTACGTCCTAAGGTCCACAATGTCTACGCTGAATTCGCCGGTTAGTGTAAAAGGTTTGTGCTTGTAGGTGTGTTTCATATTGTTCTGTCACAATTATGACTAATATTAGTCTATTGCTAAACCTTTTTTTTTGTAATATGCTTTGATTGATGGGTGCTTAAATGCTGGTGTTCTTACGTTGTTGTGCCCTTTTATTTTATTCTGGTTAACAGCCTCTTGTTAACCTTTTACACAGTGCTGTACCATACCGTAATGAACAAGCCTCAGTCCTAGGGTGCTTGGCTCCCCTAAAGTTTTTGTCCTCTCAGAGTAGGCTGTAACAGATAGCGGAGGGGAGCTTGCCCCACCCCCTCAAACCACAGTAGCATTTTCCCTCACGTAAGCTGCACTAGCCCCGCCCTATCTCCACACCCCTAGACAAAATCCTGCCAACACCCTTGTGTAACACACACACGATGTTACATTGAGCTAGAAGGTCGCCAGTTCGGTCTCTGCCGGCAACAAGTTGCCATTTTGTTCACTTTACTTTCTTTGCATCTATACCAGAATTACTGCAAAATACTTAAAAACGATACAGTTAACGACCTTCCTTCGCTTTGTTGTCTATTGGTTTTCATTGAGGTTGAGTCAAACAAAGGAACGAGCCCTTAAAAATTTTCTTCATCCTCCATTGGGCTAAAAAATTACACTTATCTCCCCGTTGTCACGACGCAGAAAGAGCTGAAGTCAGATATAAGAGAGCTCACTTTAATTATATGAAACGCACTAAAAAAGAAGACTGGGCAAGAACTTCACCTTCTTTTCGTGCTGCGTGAGCTCTTCTCTACAGGTTGAATGCGGCACCCTAAAGTGAACTTTAGGTAGTATGCGAAGCAGGCATGAATCGACTTAAAATTCTGCAATGGAGCGCTCTTCATTAATCTCTGTAGAGGTTCATAGTTGCGCACACAACTGCTTTGCGATCCCCTGTCTAAGCCACACTCATGCTCATATCTTCATTCATACTACTATACTGTGCGTGTGAAAAAGGAGTATGCATCTTCATTATATAGAGCAGCGCAGCACTGCTAGCGGTCTCCATTCATACCAGAGCACACGCCAGAATGGAGCAAGCGCTCAACCGCAGAGCCATTTAGTGAATGCTCGGAGTACTAGCTAGGCTACGGAAAACAAAGGACAAGCTCTGACTGTAAGCTGCTTCGCATCTAAAAATTTGTTATATGGTCGCCATGTTGAAAAATGTAGAAGTCAGTGTGTTGAAAGCCCTGAAAATGAAAGGCCAAGCTACAAGCAAATGGCACTGCATACTGACAGTGGCTAACAGTGGCGAGAACAGTTGCTGGCTGCCGAGTGATCTGCCAAGTGGTATAGCGCGTCGACATTCTTATACGTGCCAAGTACCTTCTGCGTTATAGCTGGTAAATTCAAGAATCTACTCACACACAGCGCATGTATTCTTATCGGAAGGTTGTAAAATAAACTGGAAGCTTTCCAGATACTCGAGCGCAGTTTGTGCAAGGCGCATGCGTAAAGGGCCGGTAACCCAGAAAATGAAAAAAGTGCGCGTGGCAGATATCGCATACAAGCACAGCACATCAAAAGAAGCACCATTATTGCCAGCAGCAGAAAATGATAGACCTGCCTGACGATAGAGAAATGACTTGGAGCGGATGTGAAACTCCCAGAGTTGGACTTTCTCGTACAGCGGGTCGTCGCAGTCCAGCGGCGCAGCCGGCCGGAGTCGGAAGTCGGTCACATCTCGGACTGTGCTGCGCTCATTCTCTTCAGGTGTGTGACTGACGCCCTTAAAGGAACGAAAGTCGTGCTCACCACTCAACAGCTCCATTGCCTCATGCACCAAGTCGAAATCCAAGGGCCTGTGTCAGGGGAAGGAGAACACTTGTGGGACATTCCGAGCAGCTGCACTTCACAAGTCAGTTGAACACATGCCTGACCAGTACAATGAAGTGATGGCATGCTTGACCGCACAGGACTGAGAGATCACTCAAGTCAAGGTACGATTGGCTCGCATCGAAGGCGTAACTGATAAGCATAAATCAAGTCTAAGAAGCCATGTTAATGACCTTGAGCAGTACGGACACAGGCAAAACCTTGAGATACGTGAACTTTCATGCAACTATAACAAAAATTTGCTATATGTGCTCAATGATCTTGGAGTATATCTCTTATTCTAGCCCCTCTGAGTGAACCAGATATGAAGAGCATACAGCGTCTTGCTGCCTAAAACGGTCGTGTTCTCCCGTTAAAATCGGGTTTGTAATCAGGAAAACAAAAGAAAACCGATCACAGAAAGAGAAGCAACAATTACGAGCATCAGTCTGTAGTGCGCTTCTGTGATAATCTGACCCCGCAGAACAATCATGTGCTTTGGTTGACACACACAAAGGATTCTGAAATAGGATATCGCTAGGTATGGCAGAGACTGAGGCGGGAAAATGCTGGTGCGTAAGGGACCTGGTGAGCCAGTTTTGAGAGTGTCAAACGAGTCTGACCTTCCGGTGTTCACAAATGCTCAGCTAGAAATGACTAATTGGGTTAGCCGGACCTTGCAAGCTAAAAGGTTTTGCTCAGACGTTCCTCTTGGATGCAAACGCCGCCAGATTACGATACAGTACGATAATCATTGATAACTATTCACCCAATGATGCCTATTACAGTGCAGCAGAATTTCATGCAAGTGTGTTGTGCTCAGTCAGTGGTTTGAGCAGCTCTTGCTTTCGATCTTTTGCTTAAATACAGGGAGTCAAAGTAACAAAACTGATGAAGCCACAATGCATCTTGACTCATGCCGGCATACTTGCCTTTACTGAAGCCTTGTTCATTTGTCAACAAAGCACCATTAGTGGGAGCCGAAACGTCTTTTTCTGTGTGTTTTTAACTTTTCCCATTGGTCGGCACAGTGCCTCTTCATTTTTTGCCTTTAACACAAACATGGTTCAGTGAATGTGAGAACGTCATGAAAATTGATGGATTTGTCTCTATGTGGAAAGAACAGAGTTAGTGGTGGCGTCTCACTGCACATCAGAAATACCATGCATTGCAATCTGTTAAAAGACACATGTTCACTTCATCATGAATTACAAACATGTAACTAGTGTCATATTATCACTATTATTTCAGCAATCATTAGATTCAGGTTCAGTTCCAGAGGACTGGTGGATCGGGCATGTTGTCTTCGTCTTCAAGAAAGGTAATCGGATCCTCCTAACAATTACCCTCCCATATCCATCACCAGTGTCTGTTGCAAAATAATGGAGCATACAGAGTACTCTGAAGTAGCGCGTTTCTTCTCTACTAATAATTTTTCCATCCCAATCAGCATGGTTTTCGTCCCGGCCATTCTTGTGAAACCCAACTAGCCCTTTCCCTGCATGAAATTCATTCTCACCTTGATAATAATATCCTCATTGATGTCATAATCCTTGATTTCGAAAAAGCATTTGATAAGGTTTCCTATCGTCACTTACTGCTTAAACTTTCCCGTCTGAACTTAGACCCCTCCGTGCTGAACTGGATTCGTGAATTTCTAATCCATCGCCAACAGTTTGTTGTCCCTAACTCTTGCGAATCTCCCCTTTCTTCCATTCAGTCGTAGCGTTGCACAAAGTACTGTACTAGGTCCCCTCCTCTTTTCAGTTTACATTATCGACTAGCCACGTAACATCACCTCTACTGTTAGACTATTCGCCTATTATTGCGTGTTGTATCAGCTTGTAAATAATTCCTCACATTCTTCTGTTTTACAGTCAGATCTTAACACTATACAGTAATGGTGTGAGGAGTGGTTAATGTTGCTAAATGTTAACAAAATTTTCCTAATGACTTTTCATCGTCGTAATAACTACATCGCTAACACTTACTTTCTAAACAACTAACTCATAGCCGCTACCAACACTGCCAAATATTTAGGTATTCATATCTCATCTGATCTAACATAGACTTTACACATCATTAGCATCACTAACTCAGCTAATCGAGCTCTTTGATACCTACATCGTAACCTTGCATCGGCACCTGCTGCTACTAAACTAATAGCTTATAAAACACTCATCAGGCCTAAACTGGAGTATGCTAATGCCATTTTTGATCCTCATCAAGCTAACCTTTCCACTATGCTCGAATCCATTCAGAAGCGTGCTTCGAGATTTATTATCTCAAATTACTCAAATAACATAAGTGTGTCAGCAGTCAAACACCAGCTTAATCTTTCTCATCTTGCCTCTCGCTGTAAAATTTCATGCTTGTGCTTGTATCACAAGTTTTTCATTCTTTTCCACCAGGCAATGCATTCATCAGACCTGCACATTGGACATCACGACATTATCACTCCAATGCAGTACGTATATCCCGTACGCCCCAAAAACAAAAACCTTCCAGAAAACATTTTCCTTCAGACAGCACATGACTGGAACGACCTGCCCGCCCACATCGCCATGCCATCTCAGTTCGATCAATTTAAAAACGCCGTAAAAAGCCATATTTTATCTTTATAATTATGATCCACTGCTGTTTTTGTATATTTTTTATTGTTTATGCCAATTTGCTCCCTTTTTTTGTTTCATCTGTTATGTTTTTTTTTGCCCACACCTCATGTAATGTCCCTCAGGACCCTTGAAGTACTAATAAACTAATAAACTAAACTAAACAGACTGTAGAGGTGAATGCCCCACTTTGGCAAAGTAAATAATTTTGTTCTGTGAACAGACAATGTACTTGATGATAAAACTAGAAACAGAAAACCTGTCATGGTAACCAGGGCCTTTCAATATCGATATGCAGTCCGATACGTCTTCTAAAAGAAGTCTTCTTGACGTAATGTCCTGATATAATTATTCTGAGATCATCAATGTTCCTACTCGTAATACTGCTAACAGTTCAACTGCAATAAATCAGTGTTTCACCGATCTTTTGCCTTGTGGTGTGCATCCTGCCGTTATGGTATCTGTATTGTAGAATAACAGAAAGGTGGGCTAGTTTGTTAGAGTTTATAATGAATTGAATGGGGCAGCGTTAAGACAAATACACGAACGAAAAAAGACACGACAAGTTCTGAGTGCAGCGCTTGTCGTGTCTTTTGTCGTTTGTGTATTTGTCTTAATTCTGCCCCATTCAATTCATTATGGTATCTGATTTGATTGATCATTTACCTTTTTTCATTTTAATTCCGAATATTATGACGTCACCTAAAACATCGCCAGTCTTCTATAACCTAAACACAAACATTAGTTACCCAAATAAATAACCCAAACATTAGTTACACGGTTTCATATAAAATTTTCTAAAAGTATACAATAAAGCATTTTCGTTGGTTAGCTATGCTAAATTTAAAATGTCTAGAAAACCTTATAGATAAGGATTTGCAAAAAAGAATTGTTAGCAAAAGTAAACCTTACGCTGACTTCATAAAAGATAGAGACTCAAGTCTTGAGGTTTCTACGCAAATGTGTAATAAACTATCATCTGATATTTGAAATGCGAAAGAGGACTTCTGTACAATCCGACTGAGCCTATAGGGGCCGCTTGGAAAGCCGCGCGCAGCGCCACTTGTGGTGCTGTTGGCACGCAACATTGACAATGATGATATGTGGGGTTTAACGTCTCAAAACCACCATATGATTATGAGAATTCCGTTTCGTCTTTCGCTTCACCTTGTAAGGTAGCTCACGGTCACGTCTGCCTCTTTGACATCTCTCTCATTAACTACAACCTCTTGCATTGTTTATGTTGCTTTCCGAAACGCACATCCATCGCTACAGAATAGGTGAAGCTTAGTTTTTCACCCTGTAGTTCTGCTACTCTTCGCCCTGCATCATTTCTTCCTAACATGCAGATTGTTTACCAATCAAAGAAAAAGACTTCTGGATGAGCCACTCCGAAGAATGTGATTCAATTTATCACTTCCGGGGATTTTCCCTTTGGGGTTATAGCAGTAGGTTTTAGCCAATGGAGCTTATGCGATGACTAATGGGATTTACTATGCCAGAAGAAACGAATTTAATGCTAAGGCTATTCTTTAATGCTAAGCTTATTCTATTTAATGCTAAGCTTATTCTTCACCAACATTAGTGTTTCTCTTTGTGAATTAAGCTAACTACTTGTTTCGAAAACGATCTATTGCTAAGCATTTTGAGATAAGCTACAAACTTCTTTACATAACAAGGCACTAACAATTTTATGGCCGATCCCCCAAGGTGGGGTGCCTGTTTGACATGGGCCAACCAATCATTCAAAGTCTTAGCTTGATCCTACCACGTTCCCATAGCATTGCTGGGTGAATAGTCGTGTTTACAATATAATATACTACAAAACTCAGTTCACCCCTTAATCTTTTTTGTTACTACATCTATTCAAGTTGATCACCTGTGATCGACGCTTTGGATAGTCGATTTTAGCATGTTAAATTTTTTCTCGTGCACCCAGAACTTTCTAGTAGTTAGTCCAACCACTTAACTTTCATCATCAATTGGAATTCGCGCGTTTGGGCAACATGGTGATTTTTGACAGACCTTTGCGGGAACCAATGTGCATGTATTGCTGGAAAAGTGCACTGGGCTGGCAAACTTGAAAAAAGTGCGTGCGCCTTGTGATTATGCTGCAGCAGCAAAATCAAAGTTCTGTGACAAAAGGAACCTTTGCATGCCAAGTATTGAATTAAAGTGTCAGCTTAGCGATTTGATAGTCTTTAACAAAAATAATTGCCTGAAATTTATGCCAGCTATTCAATACACAGCTGTTGCTAGGAGCCATGAAAAATTTATTCTACAAAAATATTTTCGATGGTCCGCCACTTGTTTAACTTGTCAAGATGACATTCCAGCCATTCTAGATGCATTGCTTTTGCTTATATCATTACATC